CCAGAGGGCACTTTTCCTCCAGCCTGTTAAAATACACTGGTATGGAGGAAATAATGCCACCTTGTTTGAGTTCTCTCAGCATTGTCTAATGTTACAACAAAACAGAGAATCTTTGGTATGAGTACCAAAGTTTGTTTGTATGGCTCCTATGAAAGGTGCTGAACTGAATACTACTAAGTTACTCATGTAACTGACTATTTCAGAGAACGCTCCTGTTCCAGTGGGGATGGCCGCCCCACCACCAAATGGATGAAGTTAGACCTGAACATGGAACTGCCTAAGGACACCCTGCTGGTGGTGGAGGTAGTACAGGAGCTCAAAGGGGAGGTGAGGGGATGTCAAGGGGGAAAGTCGCTATTTTAAGAGCAATGCACTTTGAGTGTAACATCACTTTTGTAAAATGTTATCGCTATTCCTTTACTGTAGACAATGTGTACAACAGACATTGCAAAATTTCTTCTGACAGTACCTTTACATAATTGCTGATATGTTGTTTATGTCTAAACATCTTTTTGTTTCTGTTTGAAGGGAAAAGCTCAAAGGAAGATCACAGCCATGCACATTGTGGATGCCTACGTACTGAATGGGGAGGACATCAGTAGCAGGCACTTCAGTGAAAGGTAGGCACCTTTTGAAGGGCCACTCAGCTAACCATCAGGAAGAAGTCCTTATAGCTGATTACTGGTAGCTTTACAGGGTCCGAGATGAAAATCTATAAGAACACTAAGAAATCTTTCCCTGTTGCAGGGTCCTGATGGCAGAGAAGTTTGTAAAGGCTGTGTCAAAGCCCAGCAGACCAGACATGGCCCCACTCAGGTAGGGACACTGTGGGTCGTGTATATTACTTCAATATTACCTGAGTGGTCAATTGACATTGTCCATGAAACACGATAGAGTCTGGTTCCAGCTTGCCTGTTTTTCTCTGTTACAGAACAAAGGAAGTCTACAGATTGGAAGAAGTGGAGAAGATATTTCACAAGTAAGTCTTGTACAACAACATGTACAACACTTATTATATTATCAAATAGTGCCAGTGATTACTAGATTGAATCTGTTTTGGAAATGTTGTATCACAATGAAAGCTGATGATCACAGATGAGTGTAGTTTAGTCCTGATGTTGATGCTGTCCTGCTCCAGATTGGAGATGCGGCTGACGAAGGGTTCCCGAGACCCTCGGCTGTGTTACAGCATTGATGGAACCAGACACTTCCTGCCGTGTGGGGTGCACTTCATCAGAACTGTCAATGGTATGGGAACTGCATGGTTCACACCAAATATAATGTTTCCTGTATTGCGCATGGGGGTACGTGTGTGGTCTTTTGTGTATACAGTGTACATCTGAAATATTTTCTATAATTTTTTGTAGTCAATATTTTTCAGAAAAATATATCCTCCACCCTCATGCTGCAACAAAATTTTTACCATGCCCATATCATAATATTTTCCCAAAGTTCCCAGAACCCCAATGAGACTGTTCCTTCATGTTGTTCCCAGACCCATGGGTGATGCAGTACAGTAAGAGTTGGAACAAGAAGTACTTTTTCAACTCCAGGAATGGAAGTTCCACCTTCGACTGCCCACCTGAGGCCATTGCACCATTCAGGTAAGGACCAGTCCATCTTAGCTGCTCAAGCAGGGGTAGTCAGGATAATTTTGTACTTTGTTTATTCTTTCTTATATACATTGTATTTCTTTCTCCGTCTCTTCTGCATCAAAATGTATGGGCTATATGTTAAAAATGTCATTAGAAGAAACAATGAAACTGTACTGCTGTTCCAGAGTCTGCTATGCCAACAGGATCTTCTGGGCCTGGGAGGATGGGGTTAAAGTTCATGACTCCCACAAGGCCAGTGACAGCAAGGTGTCCCGGGACATGCTGGTTCAGTATGTACATCGACATCTCAAGTAAACATTGCTGGTCCAGTCTGTACATAGACAATGTGTGTCAAACAATGATATTCCATAGGTAAGAATTGAATCTGCAAAACATTTATTCTGATAGGTAGGCACAATGTGGAAAGAATTCTTCACTATTGTGAGGTAGGTTAGGTTAAAAGCATCACTTAGCAGCTCTGCTACAAACATAGATTACAAGCATGAGATTCCTGCTGAATACAAAGATTGGTAATTAGTACAACTATATATGGGGGGGGGAGTCTGCTATCTCCATGTGCCGTCTGCTTCTTTTTTTGGGAAATACCAGTGAGCAAGGATCGATACAAGTGTTAGAGAAAAATAGAAAATACACAGCATGACGTCATAGCTTTTTTTATGACATGCACTAGTACATGTGCTTTGTTGCAGTTGTAATGGTAATTGTGCATTGCAATATGTACAAGGTATCAGAACAAGGTAATGTTATAATATATGGCTGACTTGAGAGCAGAGGTTAGTGTTTCATAACAGTACTTCTGTTCATATTAAAGTGATCCAAGCTTTATCTTGAAAACCTTTGGACTCAAGCATTTAGGAATGCAATCCTTTTATCGTCATACATGTAAAAACATAAAATAGCTTATCAAACTTACTTTGCCAATCAATAATACAGTCAGAATAAGATATCAGTATTTGTTGACAAAAGTAGTGAACAAAACATTCTGCATTATAAGTAGGGTATTTACATTTAATCTACTTCAACTTGACACATATTTTCTTTTAACATAGACCTTTTGAGAACAGATATTGTGATGATACAGGACAGAGTTTTAATGTGACAAATCAATGTACAGTGCATGGTGTAAATATGTGTTAAGAATTGTTTTCTTTTATTGTTCTCGATAAGTAGATATCTATCGTAAGTCAGTAGGAAAAAATAAGTCAAGTGAAAAGATACAAACACATTGAATAACTAAAAAATGTAATATACATGTAGGACAAAGATCAGTGTTACACATAAGAGGAAATAGGATTAACGTACGTGGACCTCAAAATATAAGCTTGTAATGTTGCACAAGCACAAATCAAGCTTGCAGTTGTGTTTACTCTGTACTGTTACAACCGTAAATCCTGAAACAAACACAGTTCATGTGCTGTTTATCAGGATAAATGGGCGTCTTGTGCTACTTTCTTGAAAGGCATTAGGTATATTGGTAGATGTGTTTTGTCTGTCTAACACCGAGTAGCAGTAGAAGGCATCAACATGTAGTAAAGGGATGTAGAGGAAGCTGTAAACAAGGCTGGAGTCAGGGAGTCCGCCGCGCGTCTCACCGCAGTCATAAACAGGCAGGAAACAGGGCAGGCCTGGAGGATGCTTGGGGGTGATCCTAAGTCGTCCTTTAAAATACGTCCTCTGTGAAAGACTGCAAACTGGTTAAGGTCTGTAATTTAGTGTAAAAGTTATTGGTTGCTTCAAACCAGCATGTCGGTAGGAATATTGTTCTCAGCAAGCCTCGAGAAAAAAGACGCCAGACTACAGGTAAGCTTTTCGCCTGACTTCCTTTTCTCACTTTTTAATGATCATGAACCGACCCCACGGAGTCTGTGGAAGACGACGCGCCTGTGTTAAAACCTCTGGTCCGTTTTTCCGTTATTAGCACGTCTCCCTGCCCCATCGTAATGTAACAAGTGTTCCGTCGTGAATGACGTCAGGGAACAAGTGGCTGGCGATTCTCCGGCCCGTATACCTTTTGTCAACTAATTACGGAACTAACGATAATTAGCTCCCTAATCAAACAACACTCTGGCTCAAATAGCGACACTTAGAAGTGCTCCGCCCTAGTTCGTAGTCCGTATGTGAAGAACCATGCCGCCCTTTACTGGCTTTAGGCTGTGAAAAACAAGTGGTGATCACGAAGTAGCATATGCAGTGAAGTAGTCTTACGCAGGTAAAAAAATCACAAAAGTGCTGAGGGTCATCTCAAAGTTTCAAGTAACAATATATCTGCGACATTTACTTGTGGAAAGTTAACATCGATCAGCGTTGGAGAATAAATAAACTTTCTTCCTCTGAAATTGAAGTTTGAAATCCCTAAAAAAATCGTTTGTACAAGGAAACAAAAATATGTTAACTGTCAGATATCTCTTGATGTAACTGGAGCAGACTGACATAAATTTGCCGTTTCCATTTTTACTGTTTCCTGGTCAAGTTTGGGTCTGGAGGAAAGAAAATGCTAGCAACTTTCAGGAATAGAAACGTCCCCATGACCGCGGTACTAGTTAATATCCTGGTGACGTCAAGTTCCTTCCCCTTCAAACGCCGGTCCCGCCCGGAGAAGGTGGGAACAGGGCGGCAACATCAGGCGGATCTCCCCGGCAGGACGGGCTCCTGGCGCCGCTGACCCGCCGGCGCCGCAACGGAATGTTTGCTGACCGAGAGTAAAATTCAAATTTTGTTTATTTGTTTCCAGTTGTCCCAGTGTGCACTTGTGAAAGTCAGACCATTGTCCGCTCTGTTCTAGTGTCGACATCGCTTCTTTCGAATTCTTCTTTTTCTGCTCGTCACTTGATTGCTGCGGGGAAGTTGGACCGTGCGCCATGCTCAGCTTCTCGGTGGAGGCCATCTTATCCAAACCGTCCTCCCACGGGCAGGACAGGTGCGAGCCCTCGGCGGGCGGAGACAGGGAACATGCAGGACCGTGGCGGGCATGGACTAACCCCGTCCCAACACCCGACGGTCCGCCCGGGTACTGCTCGGTACAGCCGCCGTGGATGTTCCATCCCAGTCCCGCACTTTTCATGCCTTCCTCTGCGGAGAGCATCCCAGTTACACCCTCACCGAGTTCAAGTTCGAGTGACTCACATATTGGACACTCGGCACACAGTGGCACAGACGTTCTATCGTCCCACCAAGGACATGAGGAGGGCTCCGGAGAACAGGCGTGCGACGAGACACACCTTGACCTTGACGGTATGACAAATTTGTTCATATGATATTTTACTAACAAGATAAGTAAAAAGATACTGTCAATGTTATAATTACATTGAAGCAAATATTAGGAGGTAAGATCGTTTATAACGTTACCTAAGAGGTACAGTCCGAAGTCATCACACATCTTCCCGACCTACATCTTTTGAACCGCATGGCTGGGACTGCGACTCCCAACATCTATTTGGAGATTAGCTAGCTCTTTTAATGTATTCTCTCGTATGATCGTCACGTTTATGTAAAACTATAGCGCTGTGAGTGGGTGGGTAAGCTAGGAGGAATCAGTGGGGCGGACACGTGTACCTTGCTTGTGGTTTGGTACGTTCCTCTCGTGCTCCATGGGGCCACATGCTTAAATTTTCCGGAAATTAATTCATTTGTGAAAATACCATACGTATAACCAGTAAATGCATCCCGAAGTAGTTGTTACTACTGTATATTGTATCTACGATATCTAGAAATATTTCAAAAGACGTAAAGAGTTAGTTTTGCAGGTGGCTTAACTCACAGCGCCTAATGGGTCACAGCAGCGGTGAAGTCGCTGGAACAGAAACCATTCATCTGCTGAATGGGCGTGACCAAAACAAATGAATTGTTTTACCTGCCTATTCAGAAATTCGAAACTTTGATTCATACTGTAATGTATTTTGGCCCCTCCAAAGAGGTATTATCTTCCGTAATTAGGTGTTATTATGGTCAGAATGGTAAACAAACAAATGCGGCGCCGACGGTCTGGTCTGCAGCCCTCCTCTCGTCCAAAGATGTTCACAGTGACAAAATACGATATTCACAGTGACAAAATTCATTACATTTCAACAATGTTCAAATGGCCGACAACTTTCTATGGAAAATATAATGACGACTCACAACGAAGGTTACAACGAAGGTTGTTTACCGGTTTGAAAATCGCATAAATTATACTTAGTGAGGAGTTTCGGGGCCCTTCCGTTGTTGTGAGAACGGGGGCGGCAAAAGTTGCTATTCACAGGTAATATATAAATATAGTTGCTATTCAACGATAATGATAATGATGACCAGCCGAATTGTTTCAAACCGACCCAGATAAGAATTTGACAAATTTCTAATATGGCGTTTTATGTATTTTCTAACAGACGATGGGGAGGGGGATAACAGCCCTGACCCTACCGCGGCTGAAGGCAGCTCAGAGCCCGAGGACAGCCGCAGACGGCAGAGGAGACTGTTCAGCGGGCACCAAGTCATGGAGTTAGAGACGCGCTTCTCGGAGAAAAACTACCTCAGCAGGATCGAGAGGATTTGTCTGGCAAATGCATTGGTATGCATTTTTCTCAGTGACGTAATATCGCCATATCATACTAGTAACGTTATAATTAATGCAGTGTCTATCATCCAATGCAGTGCCATAATTCTTACATGCAATTCACATATACTTCGCAAAGTGTACCGCTCTCCATTCACGTTGGGCGAGACCGGACATTGGTTTTATCAGCAGCTTTGCCGAGAGGCACTCTACATCTTCATAGACAGTAATGTCGGCATGGTGTACATAAGAACTTTGTCAACTCAAAACTTTCCTCTTTCTCTCACCAGAACCTGAGTGAGACGCAGGTGAAGACGTGGTTCCAGAACAGACGCACAAAGGCGCGGCGGAAACACCTGACCGGGCGCTACTGGGGCCGGTGGCCGGGCGGGTACCGCGTGCAGCACGGCCTGACCTACGGGCCGCCGGACGACACCATGCGGGCTGCTATCGACGACCTGATCCGCCGGTACGAGGACGGACAGGTGGAGATCAGACTGACTAACTACTAACTACCACCATTACTGTGTCACTTACTATTATATGACCTGGCCTACTTATGATGAGAAAATATAACATGTCCGGGCCGGATCTGCTTAGAGATTACTTTTTGTCCGGATGCCTCTCATCCAAAGAGATTTACAAAACAAACTGAAGCCATGTATCTGCTTGAATACTACATGTAGTATCATAAACTAACACTGTGCTGAACTTCAGTCGTTCCATCTGCATGCGTAGACTGAATGGAAGTCAATGCTGACAAACGACCGGTTCAGAAATATGTGTAACGTTAGTTACCTAGTGTGAAGCGTGAAAGGTTGTTGCGACGACTGTATCGTTTATATGATATATGACTTTTTTGTTCGGTTCTGTTCAGTTATGAGTTGTTACTACCTTTACATTTCATTATTTAGCATAGTAAACAGCATTTTTGTTGTAAAAGAAGGTATCTCAGGAATAGAAGTGATGTACAATCATTATTGCTCGTATTGCAATATGAAATTTCGAAATTCGTATTATAGAAGATTATTGGTATTAGATTATCATTTAGTTTGTTATAAGTACTATGCAAGACGTGTCAGACCACAGGCGCTAGGCCACCGAGTTTTTGTTGAGATCTAACAATACATGTAACGTTACATTGTTTTGTAAACCATTAAATAAAATCCTTATTATTGTTTCGCGCATGTTAGAACATACACTGTGTCTACTCATTCAGCCCGTTGCCATCACAATACAGTGGTCCGTTGAAATATTCCCAAAAATCATACAGTCACATAACACATAACACCGTGAACACGGCCCGTTGAAAGGTTCCCTAGAATCATACGTACACTGAACACGGTCACAAACTGATGAGGATTCCAAAGAACCATACGAACAGATACCGAAGTCTCCCGAAGATTGCCGAGAGCCGAACAGCGACTTCCGAACGCTTCATCTTGGTTAGGTACTTAGTACAAGTATACACTAGGTGCGAAATGCCATTTCAAAAGACCCTATTTTCTGCGAAATGCCATAAGGAAAATAAAAGTCTTGATACTATCTATAATCAAGGGGTAACTAAGTAGCCATGTAAACTTTTTGGGGGTATGATACCATATTTTAAAGAAGATATGAAGCATTTTGTAAAGTCCAATTTCCGGCGAACTGCGTTACCAGGTCGCTGCTGTACAGGTCAATGACATCATCGCTAGCCAATCAGACGCACGATAGGCCCACATTTCCCGCGCGGTTCTAAAATGTAAACGCACACAACTGGCTACATCACCCGACAAGAGTCTTGACATGCTATGTGTAAATGTACTCTAAACACGTCCACAAACCCCACCGACATGTTTTCAGTTCTACATATGTTTCCCAGGCATGAGATTTGGAAAGTGTAGTTGTGCCCAATATCTCTAAAATTGTACTATATCGTTGTTTTCTGAGTCTGGGGAGGCAGGGACTTCACACCGAACGTGATTCTAAGTCACATTTTTACTGCCACCCCAGTTGGTAACGCATTCCACGGGTAGGTGTTTCCTACCCTGTCATCTTTTTTAAGTTATCACCGCTAGCGCTAGCCCCAGCTTGGGGTTCTATCGAGTCGAGCAGCGGTTTTGCGAACGCATTCGAGTTTGCGAAACCTGTTCTATTCCCGTCGGCCTTTGCGCTACCCTGAACGCCAATGTAACAGCTGAGTTAATGAGTGTGTCTTTTTATTGTATGATTCAGCGGACCAAGTACCCAGCAGTATGTATTATATATGTATGGTTCATTGTACAGAGAATTCTAGGGAAATTTTTCAACGGACCGTGTTCACGGTGTTATGCGATGAGTGTATGATTCTCGGGAATCTTTCGACGGACAGTGTTCACGGTGTTATGTGTTGAGTTCATGACTCTTCGGATCCTTTCAACGGACCGTGTTCATAGTGTTTGTGTTCAGTGTATGATTATCGGGAATCTTGTACGGAGTGCACAGTATACGTGTGTTCATAAAACAAAGCAACAGCGATCTCAACAAAAACTCGGTGGCCTATCGCCCATGGTCAGACATGACGTTTTTATACAGCTCGTACATTTTTTATCCCTATCTTGTTCGTCAACGTTGTCCATGCAAGAGACATTTCCCGCTAACTGTTTTAGGCTAAGAAATAACTCGTTATCATGATTTATGGAGATATATGTAACGTTACAAAGGTCACGCCTCAATTGCAAGTTCACTGAACTTCAATCTTCCTGAAATAAAATGGCTTGTCAAAAGTTCATGTATGGTTTTTGATTTCTTGCAAGATAAGCGAATGACCACAAATAAACTTGAAAAACATACGTAACTTAACGTTAACGTTAACTCGTGTCATGTCCAGATTTAGGTTAAGCGATATACAGTCTGGAAGAAACCTAACCTGATACCACTGAAGTCTGAAAGAGAGTTATATACGAGAGAAACATGACGTTGAAGTTAACGTAATATCAAGAAATTGGAAGATTAGATGGACTCTAACTGAACTGTCAGCTTCATACTCATAGTGCATTTACTGGCAACTATGGACAGTCTGTGACGTCGGGGACACGAACAACTTAACATTTTGAAGGTAAGTTATGCTCGGTCTCCGTCTTAGCACAAGGAAATGGCCATTGACAAAGTTATCCTGTCAATAGTGCAGATTTTCCCGCTATTGACAGGATCGTTCTGTCACAGGAGGTTTTACGACATCCACCTGTTTGTTCAGCGGCCGCAAAACGTCTGTATCGACAACCCGTAACCTTTGACCTAGTGGGAACGATTACACAACCAAACTGCCGGGTCTGAATCTATCAAGGTTCGTTTTGCCTTATTTCTACTTACCTGGCCATTTCTTTACTATCTGTGTGGCCAAACAAGGATTCTTAGAAACTGTACCCTTTATATATGTGCAGAGCAGCCGCGGGAATAAGCCAGTTTCTGCAAATTCTTGAGGACACTCTGGCCCAGTTCTTGTTTTGACCCGGCTTGTGGGTGGGTGAGGGGGGAGGGTAGATTATATAAAAAATCGATATTTACCCAGTGTATCAAATGCATAACGGGTCAGACGGTGTCACAGCATCCATGTATTGTTTGATTTCTATGTATCGGTAGGGAAGTAGGATTCAACACCAAACCCTGGACAAGTGGCCTCATCTTCATAAGTTCAGTTGCCATCCTCCTTCCATATCATCTCTGTATCTTTTCTAATTTGTTCGCTTCAAAATTCTTTTTTCTATATCTACACAAGACAAGACAAGATATAGCTTTACTGCATCTTTCATGTAACACGGATCATACCTTGTGCAGCTTTTGGGCTTGTTAACCTGAAAAAGGCATACCAGCCAGGCAGGGTATCAATTTTTTAGCATTAGAAATATAACGTTAGATGTCTATCATAACTGTTGGTATCAACTTATAGCATACTTATCCCCTACCACTTTTTCTTGCATCCTTTGTATTTTTCCTTTGTTAGAAATTTAGTAGACCGCTTTCAAGATTGCGGCACTCAGCTATGTAATTGTGGGTGATTGATTGATTGATTGATCTTAAGATACAAATGTATTTCATTCCCTTCCCCTTAAGTTAGTGCATGTGATGTTGTGTTGTAGGTGGGAGTTGTGACATGACCCCAGCTGACCCTGTGTGATGCAGAAGGCCGTCCTGGAGCTGCTGGGTCCCTGCAGAGGCTGCAGCTTCACCAGACAGGCCGTCAGGAACTTCCACACATCAAGGTCAGGGCACAGCAGGGTGGCACATGTCACTCTCTATGGTCCTCTTGTAGACAGTCTAACCAGTGACCATTGAAGCTGATGATCAAGGGACTAAAAGAAAATGGTCACAATATATAATCTGGAAGCAGATGTCTGGCGCCCAGACGGTTCTCTAGATTGTCAGTTCCAACCCTAACACTTTTGCTGCCAGACATCTGCTTGGAGATAAACAGTATACAGGCAGCCACTTCTACATGTAGTATGAAAGGATTCATAATGCTTGGAAAAAATGTAACACCTAACCTTTAATGCATATTTTTGTAGATGTGCCTTCTAACTCTAAATTTTGCTTTTCAGGAACACATTAGCCAATTACTATGAGCTTCTCCAGGTGCAAAGGGATGCCAGCCCAGCAGAGATCAAGGCTGCATTCTTCAAAATGTCTAAAAAGGTGAGAGGCTCAGATTCTGTCATGTGATTTACAATAACATTCTAGTATACATGTAGTTGGAAAAGACTGTTTCATTTCCAGAAGGACACTATAAACCTATGTAGTATCCCTCTACTAGCAAAACTGAAAGGGTTTAGGCCTCCTTATATTCAGACTGTATCAAGAGTTGCAATGAAGTCACATGCATGTTTTCTTCCTGTGTTGTTCAGTACCACCCAGACAGCAATCCCAACAACCCAGAGCTCCACAAACAGTTTGTCCAGCTGAACGAGGCCTACAGTGTGCTGAGTAAGAGTTTGGCCAGGAAACACTATGACCAGAGCCTCCGCATGGGGACAAAGTTCCAGACCATCAATGTTCCTCCCAGACCCAGGCCTGCCGACTACCCTTTTGGGCCTGGTGGAAGGTACGGTACTATGTACATGTACTACAGTAACTTTGTAGAGTCCTTGTCTTTCTGACTGTGTCACCTTTACTGTGTTAGATTTTGTAGGAGACTATTCAAGCGGTAGTGCCAGTGGAAAATTATCTAAGTGACCTAATAGTGCTATAGTTAACAGTCTCTTCAGGAAAGAAAAATTATTCATGCACACAAATAATGATTGTCAGGATTGGCAGGAGATACAGACCATTTCTGCCAAAGAATTCTGTTTACAGACTGTAGAACTTAAATATTTATGAGAAAATGACTTCTCTGGAGTTTGTTATGGCGACATTCCAGCTGCAGTTTTCTGTTTAGACACCAGGAGGCTCTTTGCACTCCACATTGTCCACCTCACCTGTGCAAGGCACACTGCTTTCTTCTGTGCATTTCTGTCTATTCGGGCATAGATGTTTAGAAAACACTTATATATAAGGTATAATGTATTGTATTCTGTTCTGTTTCAGCTATGGCCATGGTCCATTTGAACAAGGGAGAAGTCAGAATAAAGACTACTATTATTATGACTTTAAAGCAGCCAGAGAAGGAGGTGGTAAAAGATACAGTGGTGCAACCAGCCATACTAGGATGATGGCCATCTGTCTATCTGTACTGGGAGGGGGGTATCTCCTCACTATCTTTGTCTACATGTAAGTACCACTCTTTTATACTGGAGGTTTAACCCTCTTCTTGCTGACTCCTACTGTACACATTACTGATTATGACTCATAGATCAAGGTAAAGGCTATATGCCACTATATGCTAAGTACATGAAGATTTATTTTGTGAACTTAACTGTCCGATTTCAGCGTTCTTTTCTTGCGTTTGTTGTACAGATTTGTGGTGAAGGGTTTTGTGTATACACAAGTGCTGGAGCAGGACAGACAGGCCCGGCTGGCATATGCTATGGCCAAGGAGAATGCCAGGTACGTCATCAACTGTCAACAACTCTTCTTACAGACAGGTTGGGAAGGATTGTGATGATTGTGTGGAAAGGAGGAAAACTCTGTTGGGGAATTATGAAGTAAACTAAACAACCAAAAAAAAAGAAGAAAAGGGATCAAAAACAAAAGAGATTGCAAGAATTATGAATTTTCAAGCAATGCTATTCTCCCGAACACAGCATGATACAGTTACACAGTATTTCAATGTTTCAATCAATATGTCAATTGTGAGCTATGTTTGATTCTACACTTTCTGTCATCACTCTACCACTACATGTACTTGTATATCAATGCCTCCCACATAGTTCCCACAGCTTGCCCTACATGGCAGATTCTATGCTGGCCATGAATCACTGTTCTTTATGAGACTAATGATGTTAGTCATCCCTGACAATTTTTGGATCCTTCAGTTTCCATCATCATTCCACATACAACTTATACTACTTGAATGTCACTTCCACTTGTGTAACTCCCCTCCCAACTCCCCAGTCTGCCCTATAGCTACAGAAAAGTTGGGACTAGAGGATAACCAGGCCTTACAAACACAATACCAGAGTGTACACCACTCAGCACGGCTTAATCCTCCTTGACACCATACTGTACTGCAGCCACTTCCCTGTCAGCCACCGGAGCCCTGGGTGATTAACAGGGTCCCCACATGTGGCTTTTGTTGGTGTGGGTGAGGGGGTTAGGGGGCAGACTGTTGTTAAAGGCAGGGCCTAACTTTCACACGGACTTGATGTAGAGATACAGGAGTCAAGAGATCTGTCTTCCTACCTGTCTCTTTGAGGAAGCATGTAAGACCTGAACTTTTGTTCTCCAAGCAATAGTTAATACTTAGACCTGGAATGTTGACACCTTGAGGTGTTGTGAGTCAGCAGCTTGTGATAACATTGACTTGGCAGAACACTTCATACTATATCACAGTTGATTTCTATCCTCTCCATAATAATGGAATACCAGGCTGTTGGCCAAGGAATGAGCAATGATTTCTACTTGGCCTTTGAACTAAGTCATTGACTCTCAACATAAGTCTGGTGTATCCTGTCCAAATGATCCTGAATTCTGCCCACACTGCAAGAAAAGTTCTGTGTTATTTTTCTTACCTGTCAGTCCCTTGGCTTGGCACTGAGATATAAACCCAGCCTAGGGTCTGGTACACTGCACTGACCTGGGAACAGGCATTGTTCACTCCTACATGGGCCAGCTGTATGTCCATGTCATGGGAAGGAACTCACTTAACCAGTTTTACACAATTTGACGACGAAAAAATGCAATTGTAAAGGATTTCAACACTATAACAAAGCATGTTCATGAGTTAGTTTTGTTTTGCTCCAATGTTGCAGGTTAAAATCTTTCCCACACTTTTCAGTGTAGGGGCTATACATAAAAAGCTCTTGGACCACATAGGCCACTACAGTAGGGGCTAGTCCACTGGTACTGAAGTGTTTTCAACATACATACTCTTGATCACTCTTTCCGAGAGATGCTGAGTGCTCAGCAGAGAAGGCAGTATGTATGTACCATTTTTCAAGTCTTTGGTAGGACCCAGCGGGGCATTGAACCTTGACCTTCCAAAATGCAAGGCGAACACTCTGCCCTCTAGGCTATTGCACTGGTTTTTTGGCCCCATTGACATTATCGGTATTCTGTTTTTCTTCTATCTGCAGGAAATACACCATGGAAGAGAAACTGGCCAAGTTGAAAAAGGCATATGAAGAGAAACAGCTAGCAAAGAAAAGTGGAAGAGTGGTTTAGGTAATCAGAGCTGTGTTTGTAATTTTCTTCAATACCAAGAAGTTTTTCCGCACAATTTTATAGTAAGATTAAAATGTGTAAAATTTTCAGTTAAGTTTTAAGTAATTTTACCTAAAAAGTATAGTTGGCTGCAATTCTCTGAATGATTATTGTGGGAAGTAATGAATACCATGTAAATAGAATGTCCCATGTTTTCATATGTAATACAGAGACAGCAGTGTTGTATTTCAAGAACAGAAACCCTTTCTAAAAGATGGGTACTCACAGAGAGGCTTAGGCTAGTAAATTGATTTTAGATCCTTAAACTGGTCTATTGTTGGGGCATTTTACAGGGAAAAAGCTCTATTGAGCTGCTGCTTGGGGATATGGGGGACATTTATTTTTCTGAGCACAATCCAAGGGATTTCTACCCCAGCAGCAAGGCGCTTTGCTGGCTTATTCTATCATTCCTCTGTCATCTGGAACTGGATCAAAATGTCACTTTGCTAAGACTGGGATGTGTGAAGTAAACGTGGACAAAGTCAGCCTGTTGGGGACTAGGCTTCTCTGTGGAATTCACAGAAACAAATACTTGGCAAGGCTTGGAGTAACCGGTGGCTGTTGTCTTTGATTGAAACACCAGAGGTCAGGTGGGCCGAGTCTGGCACGGTGTAAACAAAGAAAGACACTTCATCACGCCAGCAGCGATTGTCAGGGGATTTGTCCAATAAGTTCCCACTTTGTGCACAGACTGCAGCCCAATAAAGTTTCCAACACCTGTTGTGTGGGAGTGAATAAACGTGTGTTGTTTGGCTTACCTGGCAGGGACAGGTGGATCGGATCAGGCACTGGAACCTCCAGCATGTCCCGCCAACATTAGTCATTCATGTCACATGTGCTCACATATCACAGGAACATGACCTGAAGCTCATTTTAACTTCATAGAGTTTTTTTTAATTAATGGGCTATTTTGGTATTGTGAAGGCCAGAATTGCTGAAGTTTGCTGAAAGAAATTAAAACAATAAGCCCTGACATTTGTCATTGATCATACAACCACCCTAATTTCACAGGAATGCTGGTTTGTCAGGAGCTGTGATGATGAAGTTGTACTAACATTGTAGTTGAGCTCACAATCATTACACCTATGTATAGTCCATATTGATGGGATGGAGACAGTATACAGTGTCACCTCACTGAGGATGAACTGAACTGGGGGCCACTGTACCTCTACAACATTTTTCCATTCATAACTTTGTAAAGTCTATTACTGAGAAGTAGCTTATCTCTCAATGGGATGTCCACAGGAAAAGCTGTTACACTTGTGACAAGCCAGATACAGACAGACACAACTGCTCAAACATACCCCACAGATAAGCACATACTATCAAGAAATTTAGAGAGCCAATAGCTTAAAGGAAGTATCAACATTATTCCTTTGTTGTGGCTAGATGTCTTCCACCATTTATTTTAGGCTTAAGATTAAATCCAAATGTCACATTCTGCAACAGTTCAGGTTTCATCCTTGGGATTATGTAACGATGCAGAGGATTTTGATAGGATTTGACATCTCCTCAGCCGCTGTATGACCTCACTTAAGGGGAAATAGTTACTGAAATGAAACGATAGGTATTTCATAAACAGGATGAAGTTGCATTGTTTTCCTGGCCTTAATTCAATCCTTTATTGACAAGAGTAAGAAGTTGATATAACTCGATATCGTCTAGTTGCATTGCTGTTGGCTAAACACTGGTTATGTTGGATTTGAAAAGTACTTTTTCAAATCAAAATGACAACATGTTTCAAAGTTGCCTGGGTTCTAGCCTGGTTTGTTTACATCCAATATAGACTATTGGAGTGGATATAAAACCAACCTGGAGGAGATCCAGGTTCTTACATGTTCAGTCAAGTTTCACACGTTATTTGAAAAATCTTGCTTTCCTCAAAATTTCCTCCTCTTTCTATCATAACATTTGCTCCAGATTCCAAATTGTGTTTTTTTCAAATCCAATGTCACCAGTTCCACTTCTTCATTTATTTTTTGTCTTTTATGTACACAGACACCAGGGAAAAAACACAGCAGTTTCTTTAGCATGTAATTTAATGGCAGCACCGAGATACAATATGATAGGATATGCCACATGTACCATGAGTTTTTACATATTCTCTACAAGCCCACAAGGTCTCACCATATTTACAAAGTTAGACACATAACCACCTACCAGCCCTTTATACACTGTCATTGAAAGCCCCAAATCCCAAAACATATTCAAGAAAAATAATAAGGTCCTACTTAAATATGTATGTTGATGACTGCAGTACATTTCAATCTTTCCATTGTGCTAAAATCCTACCAGTAGAAATGTTGGAAAGGTTTCAGGACTTGTAGTAAGTTGATGATTGCAGTATGTTTTACATGTACCAAAGCATTTGCTTACTATACAATGAAACAACTCCAAAAAGTGGGGAAAAATTGGCAGTCTTGTTCTGAATCTGCTAGTTTTATCCAGACATGAGTATAGTTAAATTAGGTAGTAGGAAAAACAACTTTAAAATTGCTTTTGTCAAGGCTTGCCAAATTGAATTATTACTCTGTGTTTCCCATGTACTTTGTTTAGACTACTGTTGTCAGCCAGAGCTAATATTAAGTTAGACCACTGAAATAGCATGAACCTTGCAGTTTCTAAGTCCTGTAATTCATTTCAGTAGATCAAAGCAAGGAGGTTTAAAATCAATTTGATTTCAAACCTCCTTGATCACAGAATTCATTTTTTTTACAACTATGTAGTCAATTTTAACATATCAATTGTATCTTACATGAATCGTAGTAGTAGCCACACATCCTCAAACATTACAAAATCCACCTATTCACGCAACTGTTAGCAACCCTACAAACACACTATCACCAAGTAAAAATAATAATTATCTTTCCAAAATACATACACATAGGCAACATCACATAGAGATTTCACAACAAAAGGCATACAATAGACTAGTGTGTACTAGACCTCACAGCTAGCATGGAGAGCTGTATTGTGTACAGTTTTCATTTGTTTATCTGGGGAATGGTGGTGTCCATGGCAACATGTGTTGCCGGGTAACTTGTGTTTCCATGGTTCCAGCATCAGGAGGTCTCACATCAACCTGCCAACTAGAACAGAAGAGGAGGAAAAGTGTCAATATAAGCTATATCTATTCTACCAATATAGTATTACACCAACAAAGCATGGTTGAAAAAAAGGTTAATCTTTATTCTGTTTCTTAGGAAACATAAGAAACAAAGTTTTCCAGTCAAACATTCTTGGACCAAACAGAACTTGGACAAATTTCCCTCCTCAGAGACAATTGTGCAAGTCATAGTTGATTTTCTTTCTCAAGAAAATGTCAAGACAACATGTAGTTGGTTTTAAGGTTCCTTCCTAACGGTATCCAGGAAGGGAACTTTAGTTAACTTTTATCGCCCGTTAAATCAGCTGGCCCACAACTTCCTTAGGATAGGAATTCCCTGATAGTGAAATACCTGGGCCTCATGCCAGGGTGTAATCAAAGATGCTGTTGACGGTAAGAGTGTATGGACGGGTTGCGCTTCTTTGTCATAAAAGAGGAGCCCTAACAAATCATGGAAGTGTAGACAAAATAACATTGATAGAGATAATGTTTAGAATAGTATTACACACAGCATATGAGCATCTACGAGTTAGATCTACTTGTGAGTGCATCAGTACAGATATTTGTGCTTTGTTATCTTTCCCACCAGAAAGGCGAGAGCTACTCTCCAATCAGATGTCTGGTTTTGGCTTGATCTGTGATGATTTTTCAATTAAATGAATTTTAAGATGAAAAAAAACGAACAGAAAAGATGTAGGGAAACAAGCCGACTCCACACATCTGCTTGGAGGTTAGCGAGCATGCGGAGGAATGGCAGGGAGGGGAGGGCGCACAGGTGTGGACATGGCAGAAGTTAATATCACAAGGTTGTCAGGGCTGGCTGCTCGGGGCGCTAAGAAGCCTGTTACAGTCCCAGTTTTACCGTTTTAGACTCTTGCCCCATATTTGTAAAGAGAGGGCATATTGATAAATGCAATTCTTCTGGGCAACCTGAACTTTGCCGTACTTCAAGGTGAAAATTGCATGGACTCAAAATTGTGTTCTAGTAATTCCTGGTGGAGAAACTACACACAACAACCGAAGTAATCCAAGTGACGGCCTAGCGATTTTTAAAGCTACAGGCTATCTTCCATTCTCCATGTTCCACTGCTGCCCCAGACATAGCAACACAGTTGTTCAAGGTCCCCATCTGATCATGTGATCAACACAGCCGACTGCTGCAGCACAACACAGTAGCCAAACCTGTGTCCACAACCTCTTTGGTCAGATACAAGAACCCCAGAGAACAGTGGCCATATCTGGGGACAGCCTGGGCAACAGGAGAGACGTGAGGAGTTCAATTCTCGTCTATCTGGTTTCTGCTCTTTCTGTTACGGTTGTGAAAAGTCGCCATGACCGCCCGTCATGACAGCGGGTTTTGCTTGCTACCTGCCCCAATACCTGCATCCCCTCACCTGCGAAAACGTCCACTGGCCATACTCACTAAAAGGGTTCGGCCCTCTCCGCCGGCCGGGAATGGCTGACGCTGGATTACTAGTTGAATTTGTGTTATCTGGAAATAGAGGAAAGAGAGAAATGTCTCATTGGGTTAAAACGGTATCGATGTCGCTGACATTATGTGTTGGTAGTAACTCTGCTGGATTGATTGCAAACTGTAGCTATACTATCAACGCCTTACTTAGAAGGTTCCTGAGTCCGTACAGCTTAGATTTGAGATTTGATTTTTTCTATGGCGGCACAACGGAGAAATAGCACTGGAAATAGCAACCCCGTTTGGTCATTGTTATGTAACGGACGTTTCTAACCACTGCGTTTTGAAATCATCTAGCTTTCCCAGAAACCCTTCGATCACGTCCAATGCCCTGTCCTTCGTCTGTGCCTGACCACCAGAGATTGCCAACTTAAATCTTCCTCCTCCGTTCTTATTCCTGTGTTTTCGTCTGTGTAAAAAAAACAGTGACAACATCGTGCCTGCACCAGACCCATTTGTTGTTCAACCAGAAATCCTACGTCGGGCCGACTGTGTCTGGTAAGTTTCTCACCGACGACCACAATTTACGCGTTCAATCAAAAGGATTAACCTTCTTCCCTGGGAGCGCCACTTTGCGAATAGTTGTTGTGAGCTGTTCAGATTCCCATAGACATTCGGGATGTGTCCTATAAATTGTGTTAAACCAGAGATTAGCAGCAAACACATCCTGGTTTAAACCGGCTTACATCCGACAGGGTGGGCTGACAGACGCAGGGGTGCCTGGGACATGTCTCCTTTAATAGCAAGGAACAAATTACCTTCCTTCCTAAGTACGTTAGACGACAAAGGACCATGAAGTGGAATAACAGCTATTTGACTCAGACATCCTGTCGAGCTTCAAATTGTTAAACAGGAGCACATTCGAGCGAGCGCGAAACGACGTTTCTTTTTGTTGTAAGAAAAGAAACGGAGGGAGCTCCAATAGCCTCAGACTCAGATCTTCCTCATAGGAGGCAATGCTGTGATAAGACCAGACTTTCAGGAAATGAATCATCATGGATGATCCAGTAATGGTGACAGTATAATCATCTATCAATGCTGCCGTTGCCTAGTTAATAAAGGAGATCACGTGAGGTCATCGTGCTGGCTACAACAGGGTTGTTCAACTCCAGTGTCAACTCAGTCTGTTGGATAAAACATGTCAATTCACTTTGGATTGGAAAACGAAGAGAACTCACCTTTTTCTATTGTACACCTCAGAAATTCATCCAAAGTGAGTATTTGATCCTGGTTTGCATCGCAGTAGTCTATGAAGTTCCGACTGCACTTCTTGGGTCTGGTCTTGTTGCGGACGTACTGCCGCAACACTTTGATCTCCCGCTTGTTGACCTCGCCGTTGCTGTTCTTGTCCAGTACGGAGAAGTACCACCGGACAACTCTCTCCTCAAGGGAGTGGGTTGGGTCAGGCTCAGGGATCCTGAAAAGGAGGGAACATATTACTCAGTCGTGGTCTGTCATTTTTTTATTATACAGTCTTGCATTCAGTGACATGTCGGTAGGTCTCTTCGGCTATCGTTTAAGGCTTACTGGATGTGAACCTGACTACTCGGTCTAAACAAGCTGACCAGTCCTCTCTTCTCCATGTCAATTTGAAAACCTTGGTGTTCGTCTGATACATACTCTACGATAAGGTTGATCACTCAAAAGCATCTAAAGCAGACGTTTTTGCCAGATTGAATGTCAGTACATCATCTTGATAGGTCATTAACCTGATATTTTTGTAACGTTAGATCTGCTGTGGCCAGTGACAGAAGTTTCTCAGGTCCGACAAGTGTGCCCTGCCGCCATGACATTCCATCACATCATCTTCTGTAGTTTGGCAGTCGGCAACAATGTTGACACATGTGACCCAGTTAGGAAGTCCGCGTGTCAGCCCTTCACACAACCCTTATTTATCTTACTAAGAAGCTCTTTTTAACCTCCTTTTAACTTTCTGAAGCAGCTTGAACAATAGGCGAAGCTTGTAAGAAGGTCGTGTGCGTGCATTTTTATAATGCCTGGCACAGCTCACAGAACATGGGCTTCTTAGTCAGCTAGCGAAGTGCCTATCACACTTGAAATTTGTCCACAAGCTTAGTCCGAACTGAACAAACACGAATGTCGCTGTAGCCGAGAGTCCATCACGATCCGGGAACATGTTGCGGCCATACGAAGACAGCTGTTAAGCATAGTGTGGTTTGGAGTGTTGTGATATACGTGTACATTTAATATGGACAATAATATGGGGACATTATATTTATCTGGATTTAGTCTGCTTGTGTCTTTGGAACGTCGCTACATCATTACCTCATGTGCACACCTGTAGATTTACACGAATAAAATCCTTGTATAAATACTGCCACAAACAAGGGTGTTTGGGGCTTTATTTTATATCTGACCAGGGACAATAATTGATACTAATGATGCTATGCGTAGTAAAAGAAGTGGTAAAACTATATCTATTTGTCTATAGGACCAACTGCCAACCCTTCCTATTGCCAGGACAACTGGTCTGAACTGTTACGGGCACGATGTGGCAGAAAACCTACTATTCCTGGCGTCTTAGAGACCAGACGCAGCGTGCCGAGGATTTGTACAGGGCAGGTGTGTTCTGTTGGTCCAGGTGTGCAGGAGCTCCTCTCACCCGAGGAACAATAAGGACGGGAACAAACAGCCGCCAGGACGTCTCAGGTGTGGACCACATGGTCCCCATCACCTTGGAAAGTGTCAACTGTTTTTTTCTGCAAGGACACATTTTCTACGGAAGGTGAAACACCTCTGAGCCCACAAATACTGGATGGCTTAAAATTATAAACATTCCATCGCGTTCGCGCTAGTGGCGTCAAAATTGGATACTAGTACCTTTATTCTAGTGCTTTGTCCCGGATGGAATAAAATACAAAAAAAAGAACAGTACAATGCAAAGCGACTTATTGCTTGCAGTGCGCATAAGGTCAACTCTCTCTAGGCTGAGATAGAATTCCGCTCCCTGGTATCAAACAGGCATCAAACAACGCTGGCAGGAGTCTAATGACATGGTGTGTTGACTTCTCCAAATGAGCTTTCCTTCCCACTATTCTCAACGCCGACCCCTTATTCCGAAAAAATTCCGGCAACAAGTGTAGAAACACGCCACGATATTTGCAGTAGAAGCGGTGTATTTGCCCTGACGAGACGGCGGGAGAGAGGCGAGCTGTCCTTCAGACGGACTGTGTTTGAAGACGGTCAAACTGGCTCACTGTTGTAACCGCGCATGGAGATGTACTTCTGCTTCTGACTATTTCTATGAGAAAAAAGCTGTTGTTTGCATCCGTAGATCTTAGTCCATGCAGTGCTAGCCGCTACTCAAGTTTGAAATTAAATAGTCTTAAATACGCCACCCGTTGCATATGCAACGAACAAATCTAAATTTTAAATTGTAACAACAACAACAACAACAGACATATATGCCAAAAATACATGTCATATCAGGATATTTAACTGTTAACAGTTTTGTGCAGTATAAGCTCAACCTGTCTCACCTGCCGGTGGTGTCGGGTGCGGCCTCCACCATGTCCGTACTCAGCGCGTCCAGCAGAACCGTGTTGAACCTGTCCTTGGCTGCACCTGGGCACTCTGTCCGCACACACACAGGGAACACAGGGCAACAATTAGTGAGGAGTAAATGCATTTTATTAGCTGTTAAAAAGAAACAGACTGTTTCAGGACATCATGCCAAAGATAATCTTATGCCATGTAACTATACTGTAGAAAATGTCGTGTAAAAGCCCCATAAAAGCTATATATAGGTGGTCTTTGATTTGAAGTTTTTTACTCGGATTGTTTTAGTACCGATGTTGATTGCATTAGTGCCGGTTGAGGAGACGGCAGTAGCAGGTCCTGGCCGTGGTTGGTGATATACGGTATTTGTGCTTACATCCGGCGTGTGTTTGTTTAAATGTCTGCTGTAACCATTATCAGTTGGGCCTGGCCGGGTTCCGAGTCGACCTTGTCTTCACGGCTGCCTGAGCAAATAGTACAAATTATTATTATTTTTATCCAAAAAGATAATTTAAAAAGGATTATTTGTATAATTTACAAAAGGAGACAGCAAGGCACATTAAATAAAGCTTGTCCCCAAGCACAAATCCCCAAACTTCTCTGATCGGCTGTTTGGCAGGATATTCACAGCATTCGACCAATTTCTAGTCTTTCTCCAGCCACCAGAGGAGTCTGATCGAGGCTACTGTTGGACTGTAACTATGTAATCTATGTCACGGTTTGTTCACCCAGCTACAGACGTCTTGTCTGCCGGGAGAACTGACGAACTCATGTGAACATTTTTAACTTAGTGGAAAGTACACAACGCAGCAACGGAGCTGGACGATAACCATCATAGTCTTCTAACTATTTTCCACCTGTTGGCGCGCGGCTCTCTCCACCCCTCAGCCGCTATTGTTATAAACGATGAAATGTTGCCGGTCCGCCAATACTAGTTGTGCGACCAATAAAAATAGGCTAAGTGATGGATCGAGAACCTTTGTGGCAAAAATTTCGATACACGTTTTTCGGGTCTACTGTTCGCCGGACAGACCTTTTTCAATGGTCATTATCTTTGTTTTAAAGCTATTGTAGCACAAAGTAAGACGGTATCAAGATGTTAGTAATAAGCCCGAATTCCGGCCTCTACCATTCTACACCGGCGTGAGAACTCGCGGTGGTTCTCTAAGTTCAACTCCAGTGACGCACATGTCACGGCAGAGGTCATGGCTGCAGGATAGAGGTCGGGGCGGGCGGGACGGCTCAAGCTTACACACCCATGCTTTTCTTATGTGTAATGATTTTTACCAACAAAACATCTCTGTATATCATTGACGTCTGCAATAAAAAATTTTAAAACGATCGAAGAAAATGAGAGGTAACGAGAAGGCAAGAGGTTGGAAGACACGAAGTTGGCTCTTCTCTTAAACTTCTTCGACATGAAAATCTTCTATGTACTTCGCTGAACATGATGTGACACTTGTGATACTGCCATGTTCATAGACAGCTGGTATCAGGGCACACACTGGTCTGTTTCTGAAGGTCCAAAGCTTCAATCCAAAGGTGATGACCACGTCTTAGATATAGAATCTGTGGTGCTGAAAATTAGGTCTTCTATGTCACTTCAAAGTGCCGTCCTGGTCCTGTAAACAGACAGCTACGTTTCCTAAGTGGCCAGTAGATGGGTGATTTACAGCGTGCCGTGTAGATAAGACAGACAGGGTCCAGTCTAGCGGCTGTCCGCCTCGGTCAGACGCATCTGCCCAGCGTTCTTAAAGCACGGGGTGTCGTTGAGGGTCTAATCACAAAACGGGTGGGCAGCAGATATTCAACTCGATTGCACTGCTAGTCACGAACTACATGTATTTTTAAAAGTGAAATCTGTGATTGATTTGGTATAAATATACTTCCGGGTTTTGTTTCTTCTGCCATGTACGTACATGTATGATCAATAATAATGTACTGTCTGTCCGGTCCGGGCCGGTTAGTTACAACGGTGTGTGTCCTTGGGTTTATCTACGGTCAGTAACATTAGAGTCTAGTGGCTTCTGGTGGAAGATTGCCATGGTCTGCCTCATTTTATTAACATGTTCTGGAAAGGTTCTCCTTATGGTTTAGTGCCTGCAGTATAGTGGTAGTACCGCACGGTGCGGAAATCGCACGATATCGATGAAGTACGAAACATTTAAATGATGTTTGTCTGCATGTCCACCATTTTCATGTCGTTGTAGATCATGTTGTTACATTGACGTGACCTAGGCTGGAGATAACGTTCACCATCCAGTAAATAATGACTTCCAAGTACTCTGTGTGGAAACGGTCCAAAACGTCCATTGCAGTGCCAATTGTGGACTGGCGGGGGATGTCAATGGGCACATTGTCATCTGTATGATGTCTGGCGTTCTGCAGCTGCTCCGAATTACTTCTCTATTACTGGGAAACATGCAACAGTCTCGTCCTATCCAAAGTCGTTTGAAGATCTTCCATTTGGTGTCTATTGTAATAGAAATCTCGTCATCTCGTCTTTGACACGTTGTGTCCTTAAATACCAATATTCGTATCGAGGCGCCAGTAGCTCGGAGGTTTTGATACGGTAGCTGATGGTGCGTTTATTGGTCGTACATGACACATATATCTGCTTGAAATCTTCAAAGTCAAACGTCCGTAATCTTTGCCTATGGAGTTTGGTTTTCAAGCCGACATGACCGGTAACTTCTACACATCACCAAACAAGAGGAAAGAACAACCGGGGCATGTTGTGGACCAGCCTCCCTCTGCCGTCTACCCCAGTCCCCCAGTTAGTTTTTTAATTACGCTCATATTCACCGACAAGGCCCCATTTCTACAAACCGTTGGGAAAACGATGAGCCACCAAAATCAGTGCGATCATTAAAATCTTCAGACGATCGTAGAGGATACTGAAAAATCACAGAGACGTCACTGGAAGACCTTAGCGCTCACGGAAAGGTCGATGATAGGTCTGTGAGATGTTGGACGCTGAACGGTCTCTCATACAGCTAACGAGTGGGGCGACAGGAAACCAAACCAACGTGGGAATGTCTTATCAACTGGTGACCCTTGAATGCATCTTTCATGAAAACAACCGAAACCTTAGAATTGTTGAAAGACGTCATCTCCTGCCCTTGGTGTCATATTGATAACATGCGTAATTCTGTGGCTAGCGACCCTGCTTTTGGACCAGAGGGTGGAGAGTTTGAATCCAGGACTTTCGTCGCCCATCTAATCAGTACACGACAAGAAATGTCCTAGGGACTGGACACTTGAAGCTATGGCCCATTGTGAACTGGTACTGTAATGATATTTCACGGATACATCAAACCTGTTCCTTGTTCTGATCACCTGGAGTAGTTTTTAGATGCAAAACTGACAGATCCGTCGCCTTTCATTTTACCCTAGACTGTTGTCTATCGACCTTGGCCCCTCTTCCTATTGGCCAAAGAATGAATGACATTGATGATGCTTTGAACCGTCGGGACCCAGATCCCGGTCCACGTGAAGGCTGCACATGTTCTCCCGGCGTCTCTGTTCCTGGTCTTTCAGCCGGGGCTCAGGTTTTACACCCGCTGACCTTTCCTGTCGCTGCCTGACCCCATTTACACAGTTTACAGAACTCCGCGGATTTGATCCATCCGCCCGTTAAACACCGGGCGGGCCGACAGGTTGTGGTCGCACTCGTCTCTCGCCGAGAGAACAGTAGAAGTCGGCAAGACGGAGCGAGGTGCCAGAGACGCCCTCGCAATCTCCTTAACCTCTCATGAAACATTGTGGGGGTTACAAAAACGTCGGATGTTTTCAGCCCTCGATGCTTTCGTGATGATCATCTGACGGCTTTATGATTTAACCTAACAGGTTACATTGGCTTTACAAGTCAAGCTTTCGTCATTAGATGTTGTAATAGTTGTATGTCTTAAGTCACCTTACATGTTGTATGTAATCGGACCCCCTGATCAGTGAGGACACTGACAGTCATCGTCGACTCCGAAGGACTACCAAGAATCGGACAAGATACCTTTAAACTCTCTCGGTGGTAAGGGCGTCACAGGCTTCCTCTCTACGGACACGGGGTCGGACACGTCCGGCTTGACCATCATCCCCTCGGCGCCCTCGCAGTCCGGCATGCTGTACTGGGTGGATGTTCCCGGGATGGGTCGGCCGGTGGACCGGACCACGCACCAGCAGTACCCCGTGTCCTTGTGGCACTGCTCAGACTTGTAGCTCCCGTCAGAGTTACACTCCGGGATGTACAGGCCCGTGCCCGGCGGACTCCGTCTCTGGTCGTCCAGGGCCTTCTGCCGGTCCAACTCACAGCCGCCTTTCACTGCGAGAGAAACAAAACAGCAGAAAGGTTATTTCAAGTCTGGACAGTGTTAAACTAGTAGAACAAGAGCACTTAGCTCTAGACATTATGTAACAACTTGTCACATTCGTCAAATTTAAAATGTGAAAGACGCCACCAAGGCTAGCTACAGGGCCTACATATTTGCTGTTGTGAAAATCACATTCACTTTATCTACATGTATCTTCCTTGAGTCACATCGGTAAGCTCTTATGATCTTTTATCACCTGTCCATATTTTGTGAGATGTATCGTTTTTTCCTCGACACAAAGACGTGGGCGATTGCCCACACCTTGAGAAATCCTTGAGACGTTCCCTTGGGCGTCTAAGACTCGTAGGTCGGCGGATAAGAGGAATAAGAATCTCCTCACCTCTTCCAAAATCGACCTTGCCATGACTTTCAATGTCCGTGGAATGAGGATCTAAAGGCAACCCACTGTCTACCGTACAGTACGCTTATGAAGATAGATAATTTGACGCAAAGACACATACCAAATTTTGTGATCTTGTGATCAAAGTTAGTACTATCTACCATGGCCTGTCCGAGGTAGTCGTAGCAACGTGCACTGACAACACCCAACATCCAAAATGCCCCTGCGATTTCATACGGCCAAGTACGCCACCGGAGGACGCCGTGCTATACTTGGGAAAAGAATCGCACGCTGAAGGACGCAATTACAAGTTCAAGTCAAAAAGGTGCTTTCTTTCCGTGCCTTCCCAAAGTCGGGTTTCCAGACTAAAACGCAGCCTGACGTGCTCTCCCGTGCGCGCCCAACCAAGTGTGAAATGCGATTTTGACACCGATCTGTACCGGGTTGTTATGGGCTGTCCGAACCAATTTCTGAGCACATCGTTTACAGAGGATGTGGTCGGGCGGGGAGACGCCAGAACCTGCGGAGCGTTCAACACTAGTGCCCGGAGCAGTGGCGACACAAATGTTACCAATAACGACTCTCTCAGTAATAACTGTTGTATCCAGCGGCGGGCGCCAGGGTTTCCGGGCAGCGGTCAGGTTGAAGTGAGAGATCTGTTTCAGATTGACCGTGGGACGCTCTGAAACTGATGGGTGCTGCCCGCATTAGGAAGGGATGCGCTATAAAGTTTTGTTACTCTGTTTTAGAAGTCTGGAATAAGCTAATTTGAATCGTGCGTTATGTTTACTAACTAGACACAAAGGTAAACACCATAGTGTCAATTTGTGCTTCTGTCAAATGTGGGGTGTCAAAAAAACTCATGACAAAAAATTCTCTCCGAATGGGCAAAGGATCAAGCCTGAAATCAGAAAACTGAAACACAAAGCCTGTTTGTCATTCTCATAGACTGCGATGAATTTGTAACATCCGCAGGTCATTCCGGCACATGTAGGTAGCTGACTTACGAGGCTTTAAAATCTACTACAAACAGTTTAATCCCACGTAATCCATGAGAAACAGTTACATACTAGTAACTCCTGATCTGAGAGGTGACAAGGAGGGCACCAGAAGTTCGTCTCGAGTCAAACATGTGCTCTCTGTGCGTGTCAGGGTTGTGTTCATGGCAGGAGGTTTCTAACACTCTTCCTCAGGCAAGTAAAGGCTCGTTGGTCCCTGACGATGAAGGACAGCTGAGCTAGGGAACCGCGGGCTCGACAGGGCCCATACTGCGCCTCTGGAGAAACCTGTCGGCTTCAGCATACCTCCGACCACATACCTTCAATTTGCGTTGCAATCATGGGGAAAATTGGCGCCCAACACTTCTAGTCTCCACCAGACTCCTCTCTGGGACGCATAAACCGTACAAATTAGCCAGAATAGATTGACTGGTTTGCCAGAGGAGTTACCCGGGAAAGACCAATTTGTATTTTTCATGTAGCCTTCGATACATGATAGGGATGTGGCGGTGACTTCCTAATGTCATGCCGCAAACAGGAAGAAATCTTCGGCAATCCCTTTCTGTTGTTCTTTTTTATAAGAAGATTTTGCTCACCTAAAGCGCCTGCGGTTCTGTTGCCGATTGTTGGTTGTCGGTTGATCTGTTTGTTAGAGAGGGTTGGGCCAGCTGGGTCTATCACTGAGAAGACAGAAGAACAAGAAGAAAGTGTCATCGAGACTTCTCTACATATTACTGTTTAAAACATACGTAGTAAAATTACACCTTAACACGAAAGTACTTCTGACCAGTCGATCATTTGTGTAAATACAGATGTAAATACAGATGTGAAAATGTCTCTTTCAAACTTTGTCAACAAAATTACACGTTTTACCCGGTGAAGTCTAACTGCGAACAAGTATTGTATACAATATTCACCATTGTGGTATGGTGTACTAATGATAGGTTTGACGCTGTGGAAGACTTTGATATTTAAAAAGTGCAGGGATGTACATGGCTTTTTCCTCGGCAACTTTATTATCATTTACCAACTTCCTTCAAACTCGATAATTTTCAGCTAAACCATCCCTGTGTCCCTGTGAATCTTTTCTTCAATATTTCAGTTCTACCTGACTCTACCCCGGCACAGGGCGCCCGACCGTCGGCTGCGGGCAGACTGTTGCGGTGTTAGTCTGCAGCCGTCCGTCGTTCGGATGGAATTCGCAAATCAACAACGTGATTACCGGGGCTAAATGTCGACATCAACACGAGTTGAGAGGTTCTTAAAGGCAAAGTGAGTTGCTCTGAAAGACAAGGCCTCTCCTGCCGCGTGCTCCGGACCTGCGTCTTCTCACCCGTCAGAGGGCTGAGGGGACGTCGTGGGTACTCAGGACATTGTTGTAACAAGCCTGCCTTCTTGCGACAACAGACACATCGAACAGCTTGGGCCCAAAACAAACTGTTTACTGGCCAACAGTTACACAAACTTGCAGCCGAGAGACGCTACAGTAATGACTAACATATGACGGGGCGCTGGGCAAAACTCTGAGTACACCGCTAGCTTGAAGCGTGGCCAAAAGAACATCACCATGTTTGATGACAAATTCTCTTCATGCTTACTTGTGCGTATATCATGTACGCAAACAAAAGATACAGAAATCGCCTGGGCTGTGAACTCAGCATCCTCAGTCACAGTAAATCCCGTGGACGCTAACCGTTGGTGTTAGACATGTCAGCGTCCGCGGCATGGTTGGAATTAGGGGGACCACTTTCAATGAATTCCTTAGTTAAAAGTCTATTTCCTTATCTCGGTATTTTAATGATGATTCATCTCGCGGGTCAATTGATCGGGACAGTCGCAAGCGATTCCAGACAAGATACCTGCATCCCATGCCGAGGCTCTGATACTATCTCCTGATATGTTGGAAAATAATCCCCTCTTCTCAAATGGTTCCAAGTGTAAGTGTGCGTCTGTGTTAGCCTGGAATCCATCCGTGTTCAGCTTTTGTCCGCTTTCCAACGGCCCGGCTACATCACCTTGCGGGACAGCGACTGTTGGGAAGCGGACCGGAGCTGAAGAAGGCCGGACGTCAGGCTATGTCTGTGTGGGATGTATGGAGAGTTCCGTTACCTTGTGGTGCCGGCTGGAGGTCACGTGTGGGCGCCGTGGTGTGCTCCTCTGCGTTCAGCGTCAGGAACAAATGGAAGGGGACTACCATTACGGGTGTCATTTGTATCTACCCTGCTGACTCAACATATTTCATTTGCACATGGCCCGGCATAGAAACACAGGGAGGAGGGAGAGTGTGGTTGTGGAAGCTATAAAATCAACTTTTTTTCTTAGTTTTTAAAGAGACAAGACGTTGCCGAAATGTAAAAAGGATTTCTTTCCTATCCGTCCAACCAAGTCTTTTACAATCTTCACATGAGGTAGGGAGGGAAAATGAGATATTGAACTAAGTATCCAAACCCAGTTTGTTATGAACGTCGAGAAAGCAGAGGGAGGAACTCAGAAAGAGATACAAGTGGATGGGTTCAAAGGTTGAATGTCTTACTTCAACGGCATTTCTGATGGATAATTCACGTTGAGGAGACACATTGTTTCTTACATCACGCATTTTAGTATGCGTTTTATCCACACAAATCTATCAGCCAAACGTAATCAATCCGTTAACAAAGACATGCGAACATTTGACGCCATCCCTACATCAGTGGAGAACAAACAGGGGTGTTTCTTCTGGAGTGTCAGTGCCAATGTTCATAATGTAACAGTCAACTCACTACAAAATGAAAATCATTCGCACTGTCCCGAAGAAAATCACCCTGTCCAGTTCCCAAGATGAATATCAAGAAAATGTGATAAAAACATAATAGAAATAAATCATAAATGTGATGAAGACAATGAAAAATCTAAAATCTCATGCACAACCAAAAGATAGAAAATCAACAAAACGACAAAAATCGACAAGAAATGTGACAAATTCAAGGATGAAATGACGACAGAATTCGACAATACAACGTGAATAAATACTTACTATTTTGGACTCCGAGGCAGACAGACCACTCCTTCTTGGACACCTTTTTACTCTTGTCCATATCGCAATATTTAGTAAAGGTTCTCGCGCAAGTCCGCGGTCTCACGGCCTTCTTCACCACTCTCCGGAGTAATTTCAGCTCCTTTCTGTCCAGTTCGCCGTCGTTGTCCGAGTCCAGCTGACTGAATTTCCAGTCCAGAACGCGGCGCTCCTTAGACGAGGAGGAGTCCAGCGTGAGCGGGGCCTGCTGCGTGGGGAACGGGAGGATGTCCAGCGTGGAGGCGCCGGGCAGCGGCGTGGGCAGCCGGTTATACTCCGTCTCGAAATAGTCGATCAGGTTGTCGTTGAACTCCCCGCGCTCCTCCGAGCCACATCCTGAGGGAGACACAGGAACGGTTTGTTCTGTATAACGTCAGTATGGGACAGTGAGTTCCTGGCACCTATCTCATGTACATACACAAGATTCTGTCATAGGAAGGGTCGGGATGAATATCATTTCTTAATTGCCCACATTAAATATCACAATATACGTAGTGCATTATGATACAATTATATACGCAATCTAAGACCATGGTCTTATTTACTGGATCCAACATGAAAATTGAATTACATAATGAGGCGTGATTATAACTACATCAACTTCTTTTTACAAAATATCAACAATGTATCAATGAACGAGTTCTTTCTTTACCGAAATAACCTTTGCATGCATCTAGAGACAGATTTTCTTCATCTTAGTACCTTTGGATTGTTTCCGTCCGCCCGTTGGGCGTCTTTGTCTCCCGTCTCGACCTAGATACAAGAGCAGAAAAGTGCCCATCAACAGTCACCGGTAATCTTATACAGACAAAAAAATCAGCACACAGTCACATGGAGTCAAAGATAGTGACTTTGGCATGTGATAACATATCGTAACGACAGATCATCGATCATGTGAGTACTTTGGGAAGGTTGACCGTACATGAAGCAAGTGCACACGTTTATATCAACATCACAAAGGAACTGGACGCACTTTACGCTGAGCACCCTGGACGTATCCAAGTTTTTACAAACATATAAACGATATAAAATTCATCATCAAACTCATGCCCTAAGGTCAGTGACCGTATCCTATGATGTAAAGAAGAAGACCGGAGTATGACCGTCTCCCACGGCCGGTGAATTTGTACTCCTTCCGCCTCCTCCTAACCGTAAGACGTACAGAACCCCACCTTGCCGCGGTTCCTTGAACTCCTCGAATGTGCCTTGTCCCATACCTGAGCACGTAGGCGTTTGGTACCGAACGGACGAATTGGGCACGGGCTTGCCCTCGCGGGTGACGCACCAGCAGTAGCCGGTGGAAGTGTGGCACTGCACCTCGGCGTAGCTGCCGTCCTCGTTACACTCCGGGATGAAGATGCCGACCATAGGCCGCCGGTCCAGCTCCTGGGCGTGAGACCGCTCCCGGTGACATCGCCCCACGTCTGCAACAGTTGGAAAGGGGATCTACTGATTGTATACGTATCAATAATTCACTTACTCCTTCAATTCAGTTCTAACGCGTGACGCTGTATTCAGAGGCCAAGTCTCCTGAGTAATCTAAGACTGAAGATCTGACGAAAAATTCGGTGAGTCTACTCCTACTTTTTGTATTGAGAACAAACTCGACTTTCCATTGTTATTTACCAAACATGAAATTTTCATGTGGAGTTACAATGTGTGAGAACATCACTTGTAGACCCACTCCTGTCTTCAGAAACAAAATGTTTCCCGTGGGAATGTGGGTACCTTTGCACTTCCCCCTGTGCTGGACGTCGATGGTCCTCCCGGTTTGACATCTCGCCCGCTGCATCTCACAGCGAGAGTTGTACGTCCTGCCGTCACTGCCGCAAACTGTTCTCTTCATCTCCAGCGTACAGTCGTAATCGCACTCCTGACGCTCATCCGAGTCTCCGATCAGTAGATGCTGCACAGGGAATGAACAGAAAAATAAACAGATAAATGAATACATAGATCATGATAGATGGTATGAATATCACGGTAAATAATGCAGTGAAGGTTATTCGTTCAACGAGCAGCTGCATCGACCAGGTCATCACGCACTCAAAAAAAACTTGTAACCTGAATAGTCCTGACTCAGTGATGAGATAGAAACTTTCACATGATTTACACGCAGACACTACTGGGAAACATCCAAATCCCCTCTCCCAAACACAGGACAGTCGGTTTTGTCGCATCCAAGCTAAAACACTTTACGTCCCAACAATCGTAGGTTGCATGTGAGACTGGTCTAAACGTCGTACGATTTTTTGCCGTGTTTGACAATAATCTACATTATCACGACGTTTTCCGTCACAAGACAGATGAACTTTGGCTGACTGTCCCATAAATGTCCCACATTCGCTGTCGTAACCCTGTCGCACGATATCTCTGAGATGAGGACTTGAGACCCCGGCCGTCAGCACAGCTGGCACCGCTATCCCCCTTGAGTGACGTCCTCCCGACGTCTGCACGCCAGGACGTCATCTCTACCTGACACATCCAAACACTCCCGTTATCACCTCTCTTGACTTGTGTTCACTCGCAGGATCAGCCTGCTTGACTTATCTCACCCCGTACTTCCCACGGCACGGAGCGGAGAGTGATTCTAAATAAACCCGGGAAAACTCCGTCAGTCCACGGTCAACATGGAGTTTGTCCGGAACAAAGTTTGACAAGCCGCTGGGCTTCTAATAGACAGTGAGAAACTTTATCTAATAAACTTTAGAAACTGACTTTCCACATTTCAAGTGACCATGCCTTCATATCCGGATATCCGTTAATTTTTTTTATCTATCCGGCATTTATATCAAGATCAGTTTGTAGACTTGACTTGAATCGGCACTAATACAATATTGTCTTTAAAGATAGAGAAACAATAAACATGATACAGATACACGTGTACAGATATGGAACAAACATACCATCGACCTTTTATACACGGACCCTTTCATGTTTCCCTATAAGAGGATATTACCCTTCACAATAGGTTGGCAAACTTATACAATATTCAGGTCCTGACGTGTCCACAGCTGAGAAAATTAGGAAGTATTTTGATCCCCTTGTAATGTAAACCTCCACTACCGCCTAATGCCATGGAATAGGGGCTTGTGAGGTGGATTAAGCCGATTACAGACAAACACAGCGCTAAAGCCTCTTCTCACTGCGGTGGGGCCGTCTCACGAATATGCATTGAATCTGATGCCCTGGACAAATAAGAAACTCTTTTTGATGTGCCTTTAATTCGTCTTGATGAAGAGGCTGGTCGGGAAGAACTGAGGACGGACGCCGACAGAGGAGCCGCCAAACTTGGAGAGGCAAGACTCAAGAGTGAGCGGGCCGTTCTCCAGGAAGAAACCGAACCTCGCTACCAGAGACGTGTTTATTTTACGTGAAAAATGAACCCTCTCCGAGCGGGAGCTTATCTGTCTCATCAGCCCTGTGCTAACAGGTTTGTCAGCGATCGCTCGTCGCCTATGGTGGGGCATGCCTTCCGTTTGCGCCACTCCAGCTCAAAGTACGCCAATGTGCCAGGCGAGCGAACACCACAAAGATGTGTATTGACTCTAGTTTATACTGACAATAGATACAGTTTCTCTTTTACATTTAGTAAATAGTGCCCTTTTGAATCCTTGACTATGAAAGGACCACGCACTTACCGTACATCGCTACGTGCTTGTGTTTCTTACACGCACACACAAAGGACTCTTGTAAGCACCCTCGGCCACTCAATTATAGCAGATAAAAGATTACCAATACACACTTCTCTGTTCGTTATCTTCAGAGATACACACACAAAAACACAACAATCCCTGATCAGTGTGTATTGAATCTTCACGTGAGAACATGTCTCTTCACGACCTATCGGTGTTCAAGAAAGTTCTTTTTTTTGCCGAGGCACAGATGCACATGCAGTGTGTGAAGCGCGCCGACATGGAAATCAGAAGCGCGATAATTTTGACATTGATAAGTCGGAAATGAGGGATAGTGGGGACACACGTGTAGGCGCGGGTCCAGGTGTTGGTGTGAGCCGCATGGCAGTGTTTGTATGGTTTATCTAACCAAACAGACACCACCTGAACTCACACTGCTGGGGGCAGCGGATCCTGTACCTGAGCAGCGGACTGGCTTTCACCACCCCGGCTTAGCTTTCCCAGCAAGGCTTCATCCGAGTATCAAGCCGAAGGTTGCTGAATAGGATCGGATATCTTACCGCTGTTGGGGAGGTTAAAAGGCAAGTCCCTCCACCGTTTGACAGGGTATGGGTGGCTACGGACCAGAAAAATAAACCAACACCGCGGTTCTCGGTTATAAGACCGACGGATTTGTATGCTAGACCACGTCCCGTTCCATAATTGATGTACCTTGTAGCAGACCTCTGTACTCCTGACAAAACCTAGCTGTCGTCTGACGAACACGGGAACCGAAGCCAGCGCACGGTTCGCAAGTCCTTGCGGTCACCCCGATAAATAATTCATGTCAGCTCGGGAGCACATCTGAAAAGCTGGGCGCCGTGATGGATTGAGCCCAATTCTCGGTATTGTTTTGTGTGTTCAGTTGCGGTGAAGAGCCGCCGTTACTCTTCCCACAACGACAGGGCCAACCGTACACACACACTGTACTCATCTACAGAACTGGACTTGTGACTCCTTTCATTACCCTATCCGGGCCAATGAACTAAATACTCTCCAGACCCCCATCCCGACCGAGATGCGGGTAGCAGAACAATTACGTCCAAAGCACCAGTAATTCCGTATAATACACCCCTGCCTGCCAGGATGGGGATGTCTTAGGGGGATAATGTCATGCCTACGCTTCTTCCATGCATATTAACACAATTACGTTATCTAAATACCATTAGTCGATATAACTACATATAGACCCCCTATGAGGGATATTCATGGGACTGTGGGAAAACGAGAAATCTGGTTCATTTTGCGGCAGTGCGTCTGGGAACGTTCGACACAAGATCTTGTCGACACGGAAAGCGGGACCTTGGCGAAGGGCGAATGGAGCCGCTGAGAGACCTTAGAATAAACTCCGCGTTAGCGTATCAGCCGCTGTGGGTAAACATTGGAGGGACGGGACAAATAAACGATGTCGCAGGCGATTTGAGCCGTGCTGTTGGTGGCCGATATCCGCCGTGTGAAAATGGCCGATATAAGGTGCGAAAATGATCATCGATCTGTTCCGATTGCTGAGCCCGATAAGGCGGATCATTCTCAACTCCCGTCCTGGGCCGCCGTGTTCGCACACCGCTCGGCGGCCTGCCCCTGGGCTTCGCCTGTTTACTGGTAAATATTTTCCTTCTGGGATCTCATGCACATATTTCGATTCGTCGATGAGGCACAGTTAAAGGACCGGGATTTTGATAACGGCTACAAGAAGAACACATGGGTCTGCCGAGGGGGGCAGGTAGGGAGGCCAGGCCAGTATGTACACGGCGGTTTGTACACTTGCCCTCAAGCTAACGGATAACAATCACTACAAGGACTAGATAGAAGTATGTGCGCCACACACTCACCCGTATGCTGGTTCTGTCAGCTCTCTGCGATACGGCTACCTCCAGGACACAGAAGAGCATTAGCGCCCGCGCTAACAGCCCCATCCTCGTCCCTGCCAAGCTCTCTCTACTATTGCACTGGGCCGACGTCACAAGCACTCCCTCGTAAAACTGCCCAGCACCGACTCCGCTGGCAGGGAAACCCTCTCGCGACGACAGATTCTACGGTTTTTCACCACCACTGGGTAGAGCCACGGCAGCTCCAGTCTTCTGTTGTCGCCCTGACGCTGTCGGTATCGAACCCGAAGCAGATGGGCACCCGAGACTAAATGCCTTTGTGCGGCAGGAGCCGGGGTTGTGATTGGCCGAATCACAGCCCTAATACACATGCAGATTCATGTTCTCAATCGTCCGCGTTTACCGGACTACAGGAGAGAAAAGGCGGCACTCCAAATAGGCGTGAAGGGAGATCAACAAGACAACTCGGTCATTATCACCACAAATTGATTGACTGTCCGAGGGATTTTCCGTGTCCTGCGGCAAAAAGTGGCAATCCGCCTTCTGTCATTTAAATGCTAACTCAGCCGGAACGTCCCTGAAGCCTTCGCTGTTGGCGGACTACTCTGGACACTTGAGTGTCCCCCAACTCAACTGTGCCTCCTCTTGCGCTACAGTCACCCTCTCACCGACACTTGAGGCCGACTGGATATTCCTAGCTAGAGAAGACAGTAAGTAAACAGTTCGGATATCTCCTAAGCCGGAGCAGAAATTGGAACCTAATGGGCCACTGATTCCTCGCAGCGCTGCCAACCCGCGCGTCCGGGCGACGGGAAGTTAAACGTTTTGTTCCGAGCTTGCTGTGGAATTCTAAGTCACGTTTACATAAAGAGGGGGCGATCAAGTGGAAATAGGTCAGGACTTAAAGAGTCTCAAGCACCGCGGGATCTTTCAGCGGGCGTTTGCCAGCCCACTTTTGTCTTGAGAGGAAATACTTGGGATTGACCTCTGAGTGGCGCATTAAGGTGACGTCACGACCGGGCCGTGTGAACCGGTGTGACGGCGGAGCTGACACAACCCACCCGGTTACCGGAGCACGGCTTCGCGCTGTTAAGGTTACCTACACAAGCGCCGTATGAACTTCAGACTCTGTGTAGGCCACGGGCCGCACTGTCGGCTGTGTCATGTCGCCGTGTGGGCGGGTTAAGTATCTTAACGTAATATTAATTGCCGTGTATTGGTGTAAAGCAGGTGTGGGTCAGATCGGCAGTTGCGCCACCCAGACTGTAGCAACACGCTGACACCATGCTGCAGTGTGTGCTGTGGTCTACGTCACAAAGTATTGGTAAAACTGGAATGAATGTTATGTTCAAGTGGACAAATGGTTTGGGCTCGTTTCGTACTTTTCAAAAAAGTTTTCTGTACTTTCCTCATCCGAGTCATCGTTAGGCAAACAAACGTAAGAAAAGCGCGTAAAAACGATGGCAGTTTTTATGTATCTTTACTCTACTATATGTTTGTTCATTTATGGACACAACTGCACGTGTTCATTGTCCGATAAGCACCTGTACGTCGGCGTGTTAAACGATGCGTCCCTATACCCCGGAAGCACCCGGAAATACCTCGGTCATTCTCTACCTTCAAGTGTGTGATTTTGTACAATTGCCTGTGAGTTGGCTTTGTCCGGTCTGCGCACTGTCGGTTTCACCGGCCACACAAGTCGCTCTTTACTCTCATTTTCATCGTCGACGCAAACCTACAAAAACGCGCTGATTTGGAGGGTCGGAAAAAAGACCAAAAGTAGAGACACATGTGAGTATACTAGTAGTTTTCCTCCCCAAGTATCGCGATGATTAAGAACAGATACTTCATAGACTGTTTATTCTAAATCCACAATACCAGTTCTTCTAGCTGAGATATGATTTTCATTTGCGCACCCTATCCCGTTCCTGTTCCTTCTAGTACTAGTACATCCTTTCTTTACTCACACAACAATAAACTTGACATACCAAAACGGCGCGACATTTTTTCCTGTAAAGATGTATAAACAATATACATATCAATTTCTCCGGGATTACTGTGGGAAAATTCCGTTCGTCCCACGTCAGACCCAGTCTTAAACAAACCCAGACTCGCGGGACCTGAGGTGACACGCAAGTACGTACTGACTGTACCGTGTAGAGTAGCGTCCGCAGAAGGGAAATATCTTGACCTTGACACATTTCCAGTCCTGTCAGATTTTATCTGTAGCAGACATGTGTACAGGAACAACGACTTGAAATCATTCGATCAAATCTTCGCCCGAAAGTAATGGTGTAAAAATCACGACAAGTCAGCCATACAGATATGGTTACCGCCTTTCAAGTGGCGGAATTTGGGCGTGTGTTTCAAGACAAGTAAAAGACTTCTTCAGGAAGACCAGGAAGTTTTTCACGAAAGACTGGGGGGGGCGTCTTCACGAAACTCATTTCGTATCTGAATCAATAGTGGAAATGGTCAAAATATATTGCATAATTTAGCAGGGGTTGGTGATATAAGGTCTAGGTGACCCCTACTTTGATCAATGTTTATCACAATCCCATTAAAAGTATGCCGCAGACCCGTATGAATCGCCGCTCGACCGACAACGCCACCAGGCAGACAGTGCGTAAAGTTCTCCGCCTGTCTCCAGACGAACTGAATAATCTCCGAGCAGGAAGAGAAAATCGTTTAGCACAGCTGATTACTGGTACGTTTTTCGAAAAAAAAAATCATGTAGACCTTACGAAAGAGAGAACTACAAATCAATATTTTCCTGAGCCGTTTATCAGTTGTAATCTCATTTTATCGCACTCATCGCGGTTCATTTTCCCGGCGCTTACCCCTGCATCTCGGGCGCGGGTAGCCTTGGCCCGGAGCCCAGTTCGACAGTCGTCATCGCAGCCTCTCGGCGCCCGTGGGTCCCGCCGAGCGAACATAAACATCAAGTTCAAAGTCATGTCTGATTTGTGACAGTGACAATTACGACTCAGTCGGTACCACACCCCTGGCGCCTCCACTGACGCGTGTGATCTAACCTCCACTGAGCTAACTCAGATCACACTTCACATGGAAACACGTGCGGGGCTCTCTAACGTATCACCTACATACAGGATCAGTGCAATCATAGTAGTATATACTTTATATGGTTATTCTCTAAAACGGTAACCGGAAAAGGGTTATGTGTATAGAGTATGGACCACAAAGCGTGAGAGAATGTCAATGGGCTGGGTGTGGTAGTGTTGCAGCCTTGCCTATCCTATGCTAGTAAGTATCTCGAGCTCTCCCATACAGGGTCGTGCTGAGAACATACTAATATTGGAGCGATCAATCAATAACTAGAATAGGATGGTATCCAGGCTAGTACTCGTGGAACTGGTATTCCATTACTCAATGTTTACAGTTGTAAGTGCACGTGGCCACCTTGCTTTGTTGCAACAACAGCCTACATGTACTGGGTCCATTTTGGAGACTGTGGGTATAACGGTCTCTCATTCAGTCCACATCAATGATCTACCACCCATCGCACCGTGAATAGCTTTAACAGGGTGGTATATGAAGACATGATAACACAACCACAACTTTCCTCACCGACGACCCCACTTCTGTCAGCTGCCCTCATCAGGGTGGGACAAAATTGACTGTACCTGTGTTGTCGGGTCTTCACTTGCAAAATATATCCCATCACGTGTTCACCTGTCTTACGGGAGCGATTCCTTCGGGGACGACCAAAATAGATTCCCAGTATTTTCCGAGGTGGTTCCAGGTGCCAAAATAAACTTGCGCCGCCCTGTATCGTCTTCCAAACACCACCGGGACGGCTTGCCAAAAGGTGTCACCTGTCCCGCTCAGGTGTCATGGTCAGCCTAAAATAAGTCCTTCCCACGACCTTTCCTTTCAGACGTGTGAGCCGTTCTAGTATGGCTCTGCACGATGTACGGGTGAGTGGGGTCCTGCCCTAGAGAAGAAAGTCATCTCTGTCCACATCCTTGACTTGCTTACAGAGAAAACATGTGGGTTCAGTAGGCAGTGTTTGTGTTGATAACGCAGTGGAACACACGTGCTTTCTTCTCCTTCCGGGCGTTTCCTACCGCGCCTTACCCGCGCGTCTTCTTGGTGAGAAAGAAGACAACTGTGACCCTAAGGAAGCAGAATGCTTACAAAGAGATCCCTCAGTTTTTTTTCAAAAGGGAGCAGAACTTGCATGGTCTGCTGTATAACTAATACCAGCATCAAGTATGTTATAAACATTAAAATTTTCGTTGTCAAGTCCACGGCAAGTTGTCACGATATGTGTATTTTAAATGTTCGTCTTCTGCAGTGGTTTTAGTTATATAAAAAAAGTTGAAGTCATAAGAGTCTTCACCAGCTGTCACCCAGACTGCTCGCAGTTTAGGTCACAGAACTGCAGTACTTAGATCTGTAGGTTGTATGGCTAAACTAAGAGCTCTAGTGGCGCGTCCTGGCTGCTATGTGTTGTCTAACGGGACGCCTCGTTGTCTGAGAGGACCAGTACGTCAGCAATGTCTGACCTACATCGTGTTGTATGTAGCACCTCCGAACAGTTAAGGTCTGTTTTTAGAACTGAAAGAGCCTTGTCGTTGGCCGGCGTCACGTGAATGCCCTTGTCTTGCTACTTCCTTTTGCTTTTGCCTTCGTACACAGTGGAGCAGTGTGATTACCGTGATGCGAGAGTTGATCGATTGAGAACAAAGTCGTCAATTTTCCGTGTTACATGTCAGTATGTCAAGCGCTGATTTATACTCTGATTGTGGGCTTGATCTTGTATGGGCGCGTGCGTGTCTTCTCTGACAGTCAACGACAATACTAGCCTGGGTACCATCCTCGTACCACTGGCTCTCCCTTGCAGAACCAAGGGTAACTATGGACAAGAGAAAATGGAGAGCCAGCGGTAACTACGGAGGATGGTACCCGGCAAAGCTACGAAGACTCTAACGAACAGGTACTTAGTAATTGTGAAGAGCCTACTCGGCTACCTTCACTTCCATCCAACAGGTGTCCCCTGTAGGCCGGTTGTTAGTTGTTTACGGCGGGTCGTAGGGAGACTGCCGGCTGAGGAGCACTCACGACAGGGCTGTCGCCGACGCGGGCATACGAGCTGGCAAGTGGTGCTTGTTTAGTTGACCTGCGCCGCTGATGAAAGATATCTTTTCAAACTGTACCAACATGTTGGCAGTGAGTGAAAAGGTCATAATGGATTTTAAAGTAATCTTCAAGAAGCTCTGTGGTTTCGGCTCTTTTTTGTGCTTCTTTCCTCTCGTTGTGTAGGCCTTTCCGGTAGGCCGTTGTTTTTTTCATAGCACGCCTTCCCACACATGCAAAACAGCGTTTCACTTAATAGACTTAAAAGTGGACGGGAAAAGCACAAATCGAGTCGAAATAACACATTTTCTTCCTGATCAGTTACATTATCGCACTTTTGTATAAGGTCTTGCATAAGCTAGCAAGATCAATCTGCAAGCAGATGTTAGAGGGAAGATCGTAACGTTTTCCTCCTGCTTCATGCTTTTGCAAAAACGCAGGTTAGTCAGAAAATCTTCCCTCCCAACATCCGACTGGGGACTGGACAGGTGCCTCTCACACAGCGGGAGGGAGCGGAGAGCGGCGCCGTGGCGAGGCTGACCTCCACCGCTAGGGCACGCCCCCGGCCCGGGCCCGGGTCTCCTGTCGTGGCTTCATTACGGCCCACATGAACTTGATGATGGATGTTGAAATATTTTAAGAGGACGTCGCCCGGACATTGTACATCTGAGCCACTTTCCCACCAGAGTGGCCACGCTGCATGAAGGTTATCTTCTGTCAGAAACTCGGCTTTTGCGACGTTTGGTAACAGGTCTCTTCCCGAGTGAGACATCCAGGGGCTGGTCTGAATTATAAGAACTGAGATAAAAGCAGAGTTCACGGTCGATTAAGTGCGGTTAACAGATCGGAAGGACAAGTCAGTTGAAACTGTCGGCAGATATACATATATCATCGCAGACATCGTAATCCAGGTCGTATGTTCTGCATTCTTCCTTCGTCAAAAAGAACTAGGCAGACTTCATCTCAACGCAAATTAACCGTCCGGGAAAGGATCTCCACAGATATCCTGTTACGTTCGAAAGTTTGGCCAGATTTAGAGGGCTGGGCTTTGAATAAAAATATACTACCACAGAGTCAGACGTTAAAAAAGACTACAATTCACTGGAAAATGTCTGCGAAGCAATAACCAGATCATACATAAACTAATATTGTGCAAACTCTTGGGAAGATAAATTATAAGTGGGGCAGTAAAAAAACGTTCCGAACTTCCCTCCTAACAGATGCTCGAAGATAAATCTAACAAGTTTGTTTTCCAGTTCCCAATACCAATCTCTTCACATTTAAGTTATGTTTACGTACGCAACAGCTGGGTATTGTAACCGACTGCAGCAAAAAGTGCAGTCATCTTGACTGCAAGAACTATGAAAGTTATGGCCGTATATATAAGGTTCATGTCTGAGGCTAAAACGGCATTGAGTTTGGGTGGCCTTTCGGCAAACTCAATAAATCACGACAAATCATTTGCCCCAAAGGAATGGAAACAGCAAATTAGGCTATTTAGTGATTAGGCACAGAACTAATCAACAACGCTGATATTTTCTAAGAACCACAGAATTAGATTTG